GCTTTTCCATGTGTCCTACCAGTAAAATGGTAAATACAGAGAAAATGTTTGAAATGTTTCCTACCAGACTGGGAGGGAGGCAAGCACCCAAGCGGTGAAGCCAATGTTCCCTATTTATTTATTTTTAAGATTTTTATTTATTTATTTGTCAGAGAGAGAGAGAGAGCACAAGCAGGGGGAGCGGCAGAGGGAGAAGCAAACTCTCTGCTGAGCAGGGGGCCTGATGCAGGACTTGATCCCAGGACCCTGAGATCATGACCCAAGCCAAAGGCAGACGCTTAACCGACTGAGCCACCCAGGCATCCCAAATGTTCCCTCTTTGGGCCACAGGGCCCATCTGTAGTCTGAAGTACAAACATAAATGGGGAAGACAAGGACTCAATTGATGTGGGAAGCATTTGCTTGGGAGACTTGGCCTAAAAAAGGCAGCAAAACAGCAAAAATTGGAGAGTCCCTCAAGTAAGATCCTATCTGCCTATATAAAGAGACAGCCCTGATCTGACCAAGACAAAGGTGTTGTCTGTAGGTGAGGAAGAATTGCATCTGCTCTAGCTACAGTCACGCGTGCTGGTACTGTGGGGGTCACAGAAAGCGGGGATAGAGAAATGCCTTATGTACACTGTAAAGTGCAGTGTGACTTGGGATGGTAGTTGTTCATTACTTAGAGGACTTTGCTGCTCAAAGTGTGGTCTTCAAACCAGATCATCAGCCCGGGAGCTTGCTAGAAATGCTACTGAATGTGTGGTTGGTTGGTTGGTTGGTTGGTTGAAGTTTTTTAATATATTGTAAATGTACATACCAAAATTTGCCATCTTACCCATTTTTAAATGTACAGTTCAGCGGCGTGAAGTACATTCACATTGTTGTGCAACCTCACACTCCATTCCAGAACTTCTCCATCTTCCCAGACTAGAACTCTGTACCCTGAATGTGCTTTTAAACAAGGTCTCCAGGCACTTCATATGCATAGAGAAGTATAAGGAACATTGACCTAGGGGACTTCTGGTAGTAGATCCTCTGATAAACTTATAGTTTCTTATTCAGTGGACGCTGTGCTAAGCATTCTTTATCTCATTTAATCTCATTTCAGTTTCATCGCCTTTTATCCTCCAGCAACCTTATGAAGTAGGTACCGCCATGAACCCTACTTTACCAAGAGGAAAACATCTAAACATTTTACTCAAGATTGCACAGCAGGTACGGGTCGGAGCTGGGGTTTCACTTAGCATCTGTGATTCTTGAGCATATGCTTTCTTCCCTCTTGGCTTCCTCTGTGCCCAGAAAGGTCCCATCTAGGTGCTTGCATTTGAGCCTATGTGTTGAAGGAGAAAGGTGCCTGGATATGTAGTGAGAAGTCAAGTAAGATGCCACTGCAAGTAAATCTTTATTGCCATGGCTTTATACAACTCCTACCTCCAAGGCAGAGACTTGGAAAATCTGGGACTCTGCTCTCACAGCATTATTTTATCTTGTCTCTCCAGAAATTTTACTTTCTTCACCAAGATTTTCTTTCCTTTCTTAGGCATTTCCATTGATCCTATTTCTTTTCAGAACCTTCTGGAACAAATAGGAAGATGGAACAGGAAGTTGCTGCCGGGGAATTCTGTGCTGGGTAGAATGGTGCAGCCAGGCTCACAGCTCTCCGACCTCAAGCCCTGCGGTTTCAGGGCTCAGCATGACTCAGGGGTGCAAATTCTGGAAGGTCTGACCTGGCATGTGACTCAGGAATTCTGAACGGTCTCCCTGGCTCATATCTGAAACGGGGAAGTTTACAAAACCCAAAAGCTTTTATAATCAGAAAAGATAAATTCCCTACAAGGAAGAAAAACACAACGTTAAATTCCACAGAAAATATCTGAAATTGTCTTACTCTTGTGTCAGCAACAACGATGTCAGGTGTGGCCAGAGGACAGCATGGCTGTCTAGCAGGATGAAGCCTGTTCTTCCAGAAAGTGAACACCTAGACGATGCCTCCGGTCATTAAAAGTTGTTTGAGAACCACATAAACCAAGATCCAATCTTTGTAATGACTGCTCAGCACTATTCATTGATCAAAGATCAAAGGGACAAATGGTTCTCAACCCTGGATGCACAGTAGAATCAATCACTTGTGAAGCTTAAAAAATTTAAAAATCCCCATGCCAGGACCCATACCTAGAGATTCTGATTCAATTGGTCTGGGGTGATGCCCAGGCATTGGGATCCTTAATGTACACCTAGGGCTTGAGAAACACTGAATTAGACAAAGCAGAGTTAAATCATATAGAGCCCCAGATTGGTATCCGTGATGCTAACACAGCATCTGGCATCCCATAAATGTTTATAGAACGCATGTGTGAATAAATGAGCTAGTGTTAACACATAAACCGTGTTAGTACTTGGGTAGTACTTTATGGATTCCAGAATACTCTTTCATATGCTTCTCTCATGTACATCTCATGCCTCCCCTGGAAAATACTGTTGTATGATGCCCACCTTAGAGATGAGGAAACTGAGGCTGAATGAGATGAGGTGATTCCCCTCCCCCCATTTCCACAAAACAAATAAACGGTGTTTATCTAACTTTTGTCCACTCAGAAGTTTGATGACTATGATGGTTAGACCGCTTGTTTGGTTGTTTGCTTTGGCAAGTATGGAATCTACTCCTACCGGAACACTGGTGTCTAATTTTAAACAATGCTTATGACAGAAAAATTCAAACAAAGGATGTAAAAAAATAGTATAATTAACTTTCATGTAATCATCAACCAGCCTCAATAATGATCAACTCAGGGCCGGTGTGATTTCATCTATATTCTCATCCACTGCTTCCTATTTTGAAACCCTTCCAGTAAATATTTCAGTATGTTTCTCTAAGGACTCGAAAGCAAAATAATCTCAAAATCGTTATCATACCTAAGAAATGAATAATAATCCCTTAATATCATCACATACCTGGTCAGTATTCACACATCTCTGATTGTCATTTTTTTTTTAATTTATTTGATCAGGGATCCAAGTAAATTCTATACATTGCAATTGCTTGATATGGATCTTAATCCTCTTTTAATCAGGGCATCCTTTTCATCTCTTTTTGTCTTGTCTCCCTGTAATTTATTTTTGAAGAAACCAGGTCATTTGTCCCATATGGTCCCCATCCTGGATTTTGCTTGACTGCAAACTCCTGCTGTCACTTAGCACACTCCTCTGGGCCTTGTAGCTCCTGTAATTTAGTAGGTACCAGAAGTTTGATCAGATTCTGGTTGGATTTTTTGGTTTTTTTTTTCAAAACTCCTTCCTAGGTGCTGGAAGGGTTTTGCCTGAAGGTAGCCATTTTGGAAACAAAACCAATTGTCAAGTCTAGACAGCCTATGCACGTAAATTCATGGCCCAGAAATAAGGAGGGAGCTGCGAGACTGTGCCACGGTGTGCGGTGTGTGAGGATCCCCTTACCAACTCCGGCCGCAGGCTGAGCCCTGCCTCCCCCCGCCCCATGTCCTGGCTTCACCTGTCTGTTCCTGCCTCTCCTTCCCTGATTCAACCACTTGGCGCCAGGACTTCTATGGGACCGGAAGTCAGCGTTTCCCTGAGACCAGATTACAGGCTATTTCTAGCTGATTGATAAGGGATCAACATTTTCTGGCAGTAACTGCTGAGACTCAGAGCCTTTGCTCAGGGTGACACCTAGCGGCTTTAAAAGCATAATTTTAAGGCGTAGAGGCCCTTTTTTAGTTTTCAAATATGTATTTTTATTGTATTTTTTCAATTGCAAAACTATCCCATGAGGATTAGAAAACCTCAAAGGATATTGAGTAATAATAATAGCCTTGGTGATAAGATTTGTTTCCGAGATTTCCCTCACAACTTTCCTGGGGCGCTCTGTGAATAAAGACTCACGTGAACTCATACCCCAGGAGTAACCATGGCTAATGGTAATGGTAGGGTATTCTATTTAATGGTTGCATGGTATTTTGTAGGAGGAGGGGATGTGTGTGCATAATTTATTTACCGCATCCCTCATTAATAGACTTGGGGTAGATTTAATATTTTTTTTTCTATTATAAGCAATGTTGCCACAAACATCTCTGTGTGTGTGGTTTTTATACTTTTAAGAGTGTTTCTGAAGATAGTCATCTGGCAGTGGAATTATTAGGTCAAAGAGAATGAGCATTTTTTCACCAATGTATACATTTACCAACAATGTCTGAGGGTGCCTGTTTCCCCACGTGCTCACAAGACCACCATATGATCATTTAAGTAAAAATCTTTGTGTAGTTGTTTTTTAATCTTTTTGTTTTTTAAAAAAGGAATTTTTGTTGCCATGACTGGGTTGAGTTCGGTGTGATCCATTTTTTTTTTCAGACCATTAATCTTCCAGAGACATTTCATGCTGAATTTGTAAGCTGGTGGTGGATTCCAATTCAGAAACAAGGATCTTTTTGGCCTTTATTAATATTCACTAACGCAAATGATATTTATGGAGTGCCTAGTGTGGGCCTGGCCAGTTGCCAGCGACACCATGGCGAATAGGACATGACATCTGCCCTGGGTTCTTAAGGAGCCGGTGGAGACTGGCATGTAAACCAGTCACTGCTGCCAAGTGTGTGAATCAGACTCTACTGGAAGGAACGCAAAGCAAGTTCATGGCCCAGAGAAGCAATTGAGGAGGGGACGGGTCACTGGAAGGCTTCATAGAGGAGAAGGCATTTGAGCGGGGTCTTGAAGAAGAATGAAGCTAGGCCAATGGGGGCATGGGCCATTTAGGATCCAGAAAACACTCTGTGAAAGGTAGAGTATAATTGGGGGACCGTAGGGAGATACAAGTGGCTAGAAAGGGTTTGGGAAGCAGCTCAGATTTGAGACTGCAGAAGTGGGCACAGGTTAGATCATAGAGTTTAGACTTCATCTGCAAGGCCAATGTTTCTGAAACTCTGTGGACACTTGTATTTTATTTTATTTTGTTTTGTTTTATTTTATTTTATTTTATTTTATTTTATTTTATTTTATTTTATTTATTTTTTTAGGGCAGAGTATGAATGTAGTCCCCCACTACCACAAATTATGCAGTTGAGTTTCCTACATTTGGGGAAATTGCAGGGGTCAGCACATTCGGAGTGCAACGGATAAGCCTCACCCTGGGAAAACCACCTTCATAATCATGGTATCTCCCTTACCAGTTAAGTATGAACACTTTTTTTTTTTATTTTATTTATTTATTTGAGAGAAAGAGCATGAGCAAGGAGCAGAGGCAGAGGGAGAGGGAGAAGCAGACTCCCCACCGAGCGGGAAGTCCGACTCGGGGCCTGATCCCAGGACCCTGGGATCATGACCTGAGCTGAAGGCGGACGCTTAACGACTAAGACACCCAGGCACCCCCCACTATGAACACTTTTATTTTAAAAGAAAACATTACCTCAATACCATAATTGAAAAACCACTATCATTTGCCATAAATATAAGATACCAGAAAAATCAATTTAGTGAAAAAGAAAGGGAAAAAAACCCAAGTGAGTACATTTGAACTGTTTAAAATTAAGATAAAATGAAATGTATTAATGAATCTAATCTGTTTGCAAAAAGAAATGCATGCTTAAAATTATCTTCTTCTGGGAGAAAAAATAAAATGGTTTATAATCAGTCAGTAATAAAGAGGTTCAGCTCTGTATCATTTACTAAGACGAAGGTGAGGGTTATGTCAAGATAATTCTGCTTCTGGTTTTGTGTTAATTTGTCCCCAGAATCTCAACACACCTGTGTAGGTATTTAGGGCTACTCCTTGCCTCCTAAAGAGCTGGATCTTGGGGAGTCAGACAGGTGACCTCCCAGATCCCATAGCCAAGACCTGAAGTCCAAATCTTCTGATTTCAGATCTCTTACTAGGCTGATGTTTGACACCAGAGAGAACTTCTTAAACACATACATCTCTCCCCAAATAGAACTAGGCAGCCTCTAAAAGCAGTGACCTCCTCCCTGGAGCGTTCCAGCAGATGCCTGCCAGGAAGTGGTTTTGAGGTTGTACTTACTATCTAAAGTCCCTTATAATTCACAAGACTCTGAGTCTGTAACTGGGAAATATTTCAAAACAATAACCTGGAAATTGAGAACTTTATGCCTTTGTTTTAAAATTAAAATAGAGGGTGCCTGGGTGGCTCAGTCATTAAGCGTCTGCCTTCAGCTCAGGTCATGATCCCAGGGTCCTGGGATCGAGTCCCACATCGGGCTCCCTGCTCGGCAGGAAGCTTGCTTCTCCCTTTCCCACTCCCCCTACTTGTGTTCGCTCTCTCGCTGTCTCTCTCTCTCTCTGTTGAAAAATAAATAAAATCTTTAAAATAAATAAATAAATACATACATAAAATTAAAATAGAGGAACACCTGGGTGGCTCAGTCGGTGGAGCATCCGACTTCCCCTCAGATCATGATCCCAGCATCCTGGGATCGGGCCCTGCGTTGGGCTTCCCACTCAGTGGGGAGTCTGCTTTTACCTCTGCCTCTGCCCCTGCTTGTGCTCTCTTTCTCTCTTACATAAATAAATAAAATCTTTAAAAAAATACATAAATTAATTAATTAAAATTAAAATACAGATCAAATGTTTGAGTTCTATAGAAATAAATGCTCACATTTAAAGCAATGATTGTTAAAGATTTATGAAACATTAATTATACCTGCATGTGTATTCTATGTCCAGCAGCAGGTGTAATTGTTTAATAAATAACAACAAAGCCCCAAAATACTTACGAATTGAAGACATGTCAAAAATCTCAAAACAGAAAAAGACTTTCATGATTATTAGTATATTCTTAGAAAACAATGTTTTGGGGATGTATGAGCACTTCCTAAAATTATCCTTCCATTTTGATTAACAAGGCTAAACTTTAATTCTTTGGATTGTCAATGTTTTGGGTTATTTATGCAATTATCCCAAAAGCTAGTGGCTTAAGACAACAATAACCATTTATTATATTTCATGATCTGTGGGTTAATGAGGCTCAGCTGGGTGATTCTTCTGCTCCATGTGTTATCAGCTGGGGCTGCTATTGGCTGGGTTGGAACACCAGCAAACCTAACTTTGTTCAGTTATAGGTGTGTTCCTGGTGGTCTTTGGCTGTATGGTGTTGACTGCACAAAACATTTATGGATATGGTTTAAATTACTCATTTCTACTAGCGTTTAAGAACTACCATTTGTCAAATTTTGGTGTAGTATCAAAGAAAACTGTTTGATTACACACAATTATCTGAAAAGGTTATTAAAATACTCCATTCTTTTTCAATTACATATCTGCACGAGGCTGGATTTTTTTCATATACTTCAGCCAACAAAACACATCACAGCAGATTGCCAGCAGAAGCAGATAGAATAATCCAGCTGTCTTCCAATAAGCCAGACATTGAAGAGATTTTCAAATATGTAAAACAATGCCACTCTTCTTACTATTTTTTTTGTTTTGTGATATATAGTTAATCTTCTTTAAAATATGTTATTTATTATCAATTTCTTGATTTTGATAATTCATTGTAGTGAAGTAAGATGGAGGAGGGTGATGGGAACATGGGATCTCTCTGCATTATTTAACTTCTTATAGTCTATAATTACTTCAAAATAAAAATATGTTATTTATGTTGACATTTAATAGATATCTTGTTCTTTTTAAACAATTAATAAGTATCTTAGCTATTTCTCAGTTTCAGTTTCTAATACAGGAAACATCAACAGATATAACCCATATAAGGAAAGGCTCTTTGGGACCTTCAATAATATTTAATAGTGTAAAAGGATCCTGTGATCAAACGCTTCAAGAATCACTGCTATGTAGGTAATGGAGGAAGTGGAGAGAGTGAGAAATGATATGGCTTAGACTAGGGAGGAGTAAGAAGAAGTTCCATTCTGGATGTGTTTTGAAGGTGGAGTCAACAAGATTTGATGGACTGGATGTGGGAAATGAGTAAAAGAAGTCTTTTGGGGGGCGCCTGGGTGGCTCAGATGGTTAAGCGTCTGCCTTCGGCTCAGGTCATGGTCCCAGGGTCCTGGGATCGAGTCCTGCATCGGGCTCCCTGCTCCTTGGGAGCCTGCTTCTCCCTCTGCTTCTCTCTCTCTCTCACTCTCTCTGTCTCTCATGAATAAATAAATAAAATCTTTAGTATATGTGCTGCCGAAGCGAGCACAATAAATAAAATCTTTAAAAAAAAAAAAAGAAGTCTTTTGGGTTTTGTGTGGGTTTTCTTTTTTTTTTGCTTGTTTTGCATAAGGAAACTGGTAGGATGAAATTGACATATAATCCGATCATAAGAGGAAAGATTTTGGGGGGAATATAGGAGCTTATCTTGTAAATGTTAAGTTTTGAATGTCCATTAAAGCTCCAAGTGAAGTAGATATGTTTCATCTCTCTCCATCAGTCTGTTAATACTACTTGGGGGTATTGAGCACTTTCCTCATCTTAAATCTAAATTGTTAGGTTTCTGAATTGGCCTCTCATACTTACAGTTAAACCAGTGCAAAAAGTGCTTAGAGTCTTACCAAATAATCACCCTTCACTATTGCAGGGTAAACCAGTTAGCTCAGCAGGACTCAAGCCTGGCTGCACGTCAGAATCACCTGGGGAGCATTTTAAACATTCCAATAGCATGGCCTCAAGAGATTTTGATTTAGTCCATCTGGAGTGAGGCCACAGGCAGCCTATGTTTTAAAAGCTCCCCAGAGGGTTCCTGGGTGGCTCAGTTGGTTGTGACTGCCTTCAGCTCAGGTCATGATCCTGGAGTCCTAGGATGGAATCCCGCATCAGACTCCCCGCTCAGCAGGGAGTCTGCTTCTCCCTCTGACCCTCCCCCCTCTCATGCTCTGTCTCATTCTTTCTCTCTCAAATAAATAAATAAAATCTTTGAAAAAATAAATAAAAGCTCCCCAGATGATTTTAATTAGCAGTTTAAGGCCACATCACTGGATTAAAGGTATGATTTTGCTATTTCTTCCTTGTACAATTTTAAAATTCCTTTTAAATTAAAACTCCCTTGAAACAATTCCCTACCAATTCACTATGCTAATGGAGAAAGGAAATCTTTTCTGAGCCTTGAGTGTGTGCATAGGACTTGCCCACTGCGGGACACAGAGCCAGAAGGCTGTAAGAGAGCAAACAGTGAGTGCCCCTGAAGAAGGCAAGATGCTTCCCAGAAAACTGGTTAGAATGAGCAGAACAGCTTGATATGAATCTGTGATTGTGCTATCTACACTCAAGAAAGGACCTCCGGGTTTAGCAATCAACCCACCGAGCTCCACTACAACCAACCGGTTCTGGATCGACAAGCCAAGGACTTGTTTAAACTACCCATCACTTGTGAAGCTTTGTAGCTTTTGCCTTGATAAAGCCTCACCCTTGCCTTTGTTTGGAGAGAGATGGTCTTCGTGGGCCATTGCCCAGATGTGAGTAAATCCCCAAAGCTCTATCTCATTGACACTGAGTTATCCTTTTGTTTGTTTTATGAATTGTTCCTTTTAAGCCTCAGAATATTTGCTTACCTTTATCACAATGAAGTGGGGAATGTAATGAAATGACATGAAAATAACAAGCACTTTATTTGTTGAATTTGAGCTGTTTGCACAAGATGTGTCAGACAGATATAAACATGAATTCAGGGGCGCTTGGGTGGCTCAGTGGTTTAAGCATCTGCCTTCAGCTCGGGTCATGATCTCAAGGTCCTGGGATCGAGCCCCGTGTCAAGCTCTGCAGGGAATCTGCTTCTCTCCCTCCGCCCCTCTCCACTGCTGGTGCTCTCTCTCTCTCTCTCAAATAAATAAATAAAATCTTAAAAAAAAAAAAAACCCATAAATTCACTAGTATATTTGATCTCTTAGTTACTAATTCAGGCAAGATAAACACATGGGTCGTATGTATTCACTAAAATATCTTAACTCTTCTCTGGATTGTACTCACCGAAGGAAATCCAGACTTTTCTAGAGTAGTAGAATAAGAAAATAAAACATTTTCCAAGAAGCAAGTTGTGTTCGTTTTCTATGCTCTGGAGCAAATGACCACAAACTTAGTGGCTTAGAACAACATACATTTATTATCTAATAGTTTTTGTGGGCCAGGAGTCTGGGCATGGCTTTACTACATCCTCAGCTCAAGGTCTCACACACCTGCAGTCAAGGTGTTGGCCAGGCTGCCTTTCCATCTGGAGGCTCAATTACATC